ACTAGAAGACGAGGAGTCGCTTGACGAGTCTCGCTTCTTTTTCTTCTTCTTACTTTTCTTGTNNGTCATCATCATCATCATTGTCATCTCTTCCTGGTGGGCCAGGTGTACCAGGCGGGCCTTGGTGCAACCCTGGCGGTCCGGTCATATCATAAAACTCTGGAAAGTTAGGAGAATGAACTCCGCCTTCATAAGCAGGATGGGACGGTGCTTGACGTTCGGGCCCCGTGCCAGGTTCGGACGCGAAAGGGGGTGTAGGCGATCTGTAGGAATGCTGATCCACAGGGAACACACGTTGCTTCTGCAAGCTTTCGACTAAGCGAGTTAGCTTCTTGATTCCATTAGCATGTTCCTCATCACGCGCACGAGCCTCGGCTTCCGCCTCTCGAGATTGGGTAAAGCACTCTTCTCGTTGATTGGCATTCTTGCTTTCTGCCCTATCAAGAGCATCTTGTAATTCCACAACCTCATTCCTGAACTGATTCCCTGCATGGTTCGCTTGATCTAGTTCCTGTTGACCCTGATGGAGCCTGCTTTCGCATTCGCGAAGCGGATGAAACACTTGATACATGATGACCAATTGCAGCGGCTTCGGACTCGAGATTCATCTTTCTCGCTTCCACTTCGAGTTCCAGTCTAGCAATCCTCTCCGAATAGGGCATTTCATACTTCATAAGCTCTTGACGGTGCCTGGATTCGGCTACAGCGGCTACAGCTTCAAGGTCTGCTGCACGGTCAGGCGTGACAAGCATATTGTTTTGCTGAAGGTTCACTGAACGAGCATCATAGAGCATGTTGTTGACTTGACTGGCTGACAAGTGGGTTACCTGCGTCGATAGCAACTGGGGCGGCTAAACCGGTAAGACTTTCATGGTCAAGACTCATGTCTGAACCGTTGATCGGAACTGCAACAGCATTGTCAAGCTGTGAAATAGCAGATGCGGTTAGCCTTGGTGCTTCCACAGGGGCCGTAGGCGGAGGCGCAGCTGATCCTGACAGTGGATGACTGGCCTTAGCAACCGAGGCTTCACCTGTGCCCAGACTAGTGCCTGCAGGACTTATCGGAGGTAATGCAGGAAGGCGAGACATGGCTTAGGCTACGGCTGATAACCTATGGTTACCTGAAACACACTCTTGTCTTGAGCCACATAATCGAGTAGCGTAACAATAGGTTTCGGGATTAGGGTTTAGGGTTCGGGGTGTAGGGTTTAGGGTCAAGGTTTAGGGTTTGGGGTTCAGGGTTTTCTAGGTTTAAGGTTCCGGGGTTTCGGGATTAGGGTCTAGGGTTCGGAGTTTAGGGTTTAGGGTCAAGGTTTAGGGTTTGGGGCTCAGGGTTTTCTAGGTTTAGGGTTTCGGGTTAAGGGGGTTTCGGGATGAGGGTTTGGGGTTCGGGGTTTAGAGTTCGGGGTTTAGGGTTTAGGGTCAAGGTTTAGAGTTTGGGCTCAGGATTTTCTAGGTTTAGGGTTTCCGTTTAGGGGGGTTTCGGGATTTGGGTTTAGGGTTCGGGGTTTAAGGTTTAGGGTCAAGGTTTAGGGCTTTTTTTAAACATCCCCAAGGTTTAGGGTTTGGGGCTCAGGGTTTTCTAGACTCAGGGTTTTGGGTTAGGAGGGTTTTGGGATTTGAGGTTTAGGGTTTATGGTCGAGCTTTAGGGTTTGAGGTTCAGGGTTTTCTAGACTTAGGGTTTCGGGTTAGGAGGGTTTCGGGATGAGGGTTTAGGGTTTGAGGTTTAGGGTTTAGGGTCAAGGTTTAGTGTTGGGGCGTTCAGGGTCTAGGTTTAGGGTTTAAGGTTTCAGGTCAGGGGTTTAGGGATTAGGGGCTAATCCCCAAACCCCCTGACCCAAACCTGATTAAGGTTTAGAGTTAGGGGCTAGGGGTTTTGGGGTCACGGGTGGCCTGTCAAGGCGAGGGTTCAGGATTGTTACGATTTAAGCTCAGGGCTTAGGACGACAGTTCCGCATGCCACCAGGAGCACAAGCATGCAAGTTTAAGGTGTCGAGGAATCACTGCTTCGAAAATGACGACAGGTCTGCATTTTGCCACGACAAAATGTCAGAAGTCACAAGCGACTAAAATTGAGAAGTCACAAGCGACCCTCGGGGGAATTCTCCTCTACCGCTCGTGCCTGCAAGTTTGGGGGGGTTATCAACCAACCCCCTGCCCTTCGACCCTATTTGCCATTGCTGAGGACTGCACGACACGTTCGGCATGGAGCGCCTCGGCCTGCAGAATTACAATCTGCCCATATCTCTCAAAAGAATCTAAGCTACCAGGGTCCTTCAAAGAATTCTGAAAAGGCAACTCTGCTTTCGACACTCCTTAACAGCTGTGTAAGCTGCTTCGAGCTGCGGAGGCCAAGGCAGGCCTTGGGAGCAACCGCAGGATTGACGATAGTGTTCAGCTTGTCCATGTCCTCAACTTTGGGGTTGAGGGCCAGGGGCTTGTCGGGGTTTGTGAGCAGGATGTTGGGCACATTGTGTGTGCCTGCAGAAGCCCACATGTGTTGAAGCCTGTAACAATCCCAAAGCCACACACAACCCCATGGGCACCGGAATGTTGAGGTCGCCAGTGATGACAGGATGGCTCGGGATCTCGCCTGAGCACGATGCTGACCCTCCCATGCCAATACTGTAGGGCGACAAGCGAGGAATAATACAAGCCAGGGTTGGGGACGAAGCCTATGCATCCCCAGTAGAAGTAGCACTAGGAGATGTGTTGTGCTGCGGAACCATGATTGGTATGAGCATGTCACTGATACAATCCTGTTTGAACTAAGCTGGCCACCATTGTGGACAGCCTGTCGGTAGTGCTGAGCTGCCTGCGGCACGCCACCAATATGGTTCTTAGAACCTCTTTCTTGGATATTTGCAACACGTCACTTTACTCGTGATGTTAAGGTAACATGACCAGCGGCCCCGCATGTGGTGTGCATGCCACCTGTGCACCTGCGGTACATGTCACATTTGTGCCACTTGACCAGCTGCCATGCAGTCGTCTTGCCCTGGCTGAAATCAGCGGCCATGCACGCCGTACTTCCTTTCTTGGACTGGAGACCACTTGAACAAGCATCAAATAGAAAATTGAATGACATAAAAGAACGTGCGACCCTGCCAGAAAGGTGGCAAAGAGCTTGCTCAGCAGTGAAACAAGCAGTCTCATCCGTTTGATTCCACGCACCAACAGGACCCGCTGAGCGGCTTCTATTCAGCACTGGAACAGACGCAAACAGGCAAATGCAGGCTTGTTCAGCACATGAATAGTCACAGTCAGCACGTTCCAAACATGCACGTAGATTGCTCAACACTGGGCAAGTGCTCCTATGAAGCGCTAGTGAGCGCTTCTCGAAACGTGTTGAAGATTCAGGTGCGAGCAATATTCCTGCACCAGCCAGTCATCTTCCTCACGCTCAGCCCTAAATCTTAACCTCAAATTGATTTCAACCTGCCACAAACTTGGACCCCTAGGCAGGAAAAGACTCTGGTTCTAAAGTGTGTCACCTATATCCCCCAAGAGCTACTAGAAAAAATAATCGTTAGTGAAAAACTTAACTTTCTTGAATCTCTGAACCTAGAGCCGTTGAGCCTTGAAACTTCAATGTTGACCTTCAACACTACAGGCCCCGTCAGCAGCTGAAACATGATTGTGGACCTACAGTTCTTCCATAAAGTGACCAAATTGTTGTTGGGAAACGTACCTGATGCCAGGCTGTAGAGCGCCGGACCCCAAACCAAGCAGGGGGAATGTTTAGTTGCCCTAACCATGATGAGAATATACTCCCCCAATCATTATACAAAGTGACCGCTTCTCATCCCAAAGATGCCATCCCCAGAATAGTGCTGTTAGGAAGTCATCCCTACCTTCCCGAAGAATGCCTCTCTCCCCTCAGCCTAAGCTCTGAACCCTACCTTTCTTCTACTGGACCCAGGATCTTGCGGCCCAGACCCTGTGCCCTCAACTCTCAACTAAACGCTGTCGTCATCACGTTGAGTCTTGCTGGGCCTTTGCGAAATCCTCAGGGTCAAGGGCGGCTCCTTGAACAAAGAGAACTAGCCTGGGCGATTAGGATTTGGGCTTGGGGCAAGGTGTTGGCATTTAGGGATATTGTACTATATAATACTGTGTCTATATACATATATATATGTACACATTTTATACTAATCATACCATATTGTACTAAAATATACTATGGTATACTATATTTCACTATTACATGCTATATTCTACTCTATCTTTTATTGCTTCAGAGCTTAAGCCTCGGATCTGGGATACGGCTGAGGTTTGAGGGAATAGAGACCAAGGCTTGGACTTTGAGAGCTAGCAAATCCAAGTTGGGGTTAAGCTCTAAAGTATTATCTAATATAGTATGATCTAGTATAACACAGTATATTGTAGCATAATATAGTTTATGGATTGTAGTATATCATAATATTTTGTAGTTATAATATATATTATAGTATTATATTTATTATATACTACTCAAACTAAACCGCATGCTGCTACAAGAAGGGCTCAAGACCGGGCTTGGATGAGAGCAGCTCTCTAAACAAAGACACGTTCTTGCTGTTGCGATCCGGTTCTCCCTCAAATCATCACTCAGCTGAGCCGACAGAAGACCCTTACCTGAACTCTCCCGCAGACCATCTTTGGGCAAAGTCGTGCTTAGTTTCATGGTAGCGGCTCAGACTGAGTCCCATGACTTCCTACCTACCGCATGTGCATGTAGCCGAGGCTAGTACACTGTTGGGAAGAGTCTCCAAGAGTGAAACATCATCTGCAGGCTCAGGCTTGACCCTGAGGTTTCCCGAGACTTGCACGCGCGCCGTGCATTCGGCTACTGAGCATGAGCCACACAGCATCGTAATGCATGATGCTGCTTGGAACGCTTGCACATCTGGGCCAGGAAGAGCAGGACTCTACAGCAACCACATTCCTACGCTTTCTCAGCTGCAACGGTCTGGGTTCTTGTCCCCAGGAAACGAAACAGTCATAGAGACGCATCCTGTCAGTGATCAACTGCACGAGGTAGAGGCTCATTGACATCCACCTGAGTCCCACCTGCAGGAGCAGTTGACTGGACTGCCCAAGCCAGACTCTGAGTCCTGGTGAGTCCCCAACTGCGATCGCCAGGCCTACAGCAGAAATGCTTGATGACTGTGGGCTGAACCGGAAAATACGAAGCTCCTGCCTAAAGCAAGTCAGCGACTCCAACTTCATGCGGCCCGAGTCTTGCTGCAACCGCCAGAACTGGCGCCACACAAACATCAATTCACTCATGCACATCCATCATCCGGTGCCAGCACAGCATCCGAAGCTTTTTGCAGTTGATTCTTGCACGGCATCTCGGATATCAAAGGTTCCTCAAAACCGGTACCTGTTGCCAGTGTATGGCTTAGCCGGGCATCCTTTGTGCCGTTCGAGCAGGACTGCTGTGCGCTGCTGGTGCTCAATGTTGACTACCAGAGTATTTGCCTTTGAAACTGGTGAAAGAGCAACCACGCAATCACAGTCTGTCATGCCAGGGCTATGGGAATTCCATTGATTCCGCTCAGGCGGGTCATCTTGGCCGATTCTCATTTTGTCACGAAGCCTCGGAGCTCTGTGGAGTGGCCCAAGAGCATGAAACCCAATAGAAGGCTGAGCCAGCAACGCTCTTGATTTTCATCCACTTCGGAACTTTCCGAGGATGTGCAAAGAGCCTTACGCGAAAGCCAAAACATCAATTCCCTGTGCTTGAAACTGCTCAACATGACACGTCGCAGCAGACCCACCCAGTTTTTTTGCGAACCCAGGGACACACGATGGCCATGAATACCAGTGACAGCACCAAGACAGTGGTGGGACCCACCTTGCTCAGACAAAAATGTTCAGATGCGATTGGCGTCTTTCTCCCCAACCTTGAGACCAGGAGTGTCATCGCTGTAGAACTTTAGAATTCCTCCGCCACCTCCTGCCTGGCAAGGAAGGCTCGACGTCAGAGCCAACTGCCGCAGTTGAATACTGGAGGTACGTCACCTCTGTGTTGTTCCTCACGGATTTCAACTTAGGCTCCGCTACTCAAATCCCCCGCCCCAGCCAAACACAGAGTCCAGAAGCAATCATCATCTTGGGACTTACACTATGCCTACATTCACTGTTCAAAAGTCGGGTAAGCTAATGTCATGGCCTTCTTGCCGCTGTTGGCTCCTGAAGCTGCACCCGACCTGTTCGGGGGTTCAGGCTTTGTACAGCCAATGATCGGGCATAGTTTAGGGTGGCATCCCATGATTGTTCACTTGGGATTTTGGTGATCCTGAATGCGTATATGTCGCAGTATGTTGTGACCAGTGTATCCCTGTCTGGATTATCACGGAAAAGTACCATAGCGATTGCCAGGAAGATTGCGCTGAAGATGTCACAAGAACTCTTACAGCCAAAACTGGAGCCGGAGTGCTCCGCTCCATGGCAAAGGCATGGCTGGTTATAGGCAGGCAAATATGTACCAGAATCGAGGTTGTGACCAGCGACATATCATGTCATCCCATGTATGACAACCTCTTCATATCCCAGATAGCGGGCACTTGTTTAAAATTTAGTTTGACAAAAGGCCATTCCTGAACATGATAAGCCTCAAAAGGGTCTCCCATATCTGAGGGCCACTCCCACAGAACCCCCACCTCTCCCCAAAATTCCGAAACTTTTCTCTGTACTTGGTTTGGTGTGGAGGGCTTAGAGTCTTCAAGCTCGAGCGATCTTCGCCAATACTGTCTGGCCATGCAGCATAAAATTTCTCAGTTGCCTCAACGATTTTGGACAGAGATTGGAATGTCTGAAAAAACACGCTTCCGTTTGCAACAATTACTGGTCTGGGCAAAGGCGGGTGCTGCAGGAGCTCTGAAAATTCCTGCCTGGACATCAAAACCAAACGCAAGTGACTGACTGCTCGGAAGAACGCAGGAAAGTGCTCAGATCCTGAAATCCTCGTGGCAGAAAAGTTCAGCATTGACGAGCCCTAGCTTGGGCACCTCGTCGTTGTCCGGCGAGCGAGGGCAGTCCGAGAGCCACCAACCTGAGAGCTGAAAACTTGCTGAGCTCCTACAAAGCCAAGGCACTAAGCCAAAACTGGACATCTCCAACTCGACGTCCCAGATTCTTCCAGACCCTGAACAGAACCTGAACTCTACATCCTGAGGCCTGAGGCCTTCCACCAACCAAAACAAAGCCTGCCTTTCGATAATGAGATTCCAGGCACAGACCTCATGTAAACCCCGCAACGGCTGAACCGATTGAAAAAAGTCCACGGCCATGGCAATGGAGGCCCCGGCAGAAGCCGCTGCTTGTCCGCGGCCGGTACCGGACCCCGAGTCCGCCATCCTGCATGGCTTGACGGGTGTTGGTAGGGGTGTGGTTATATGGAGGTATACAAGGGTACATAGGAGTATTTGGGGGTGTCTAAGGTTTAGAGCCCTAAACCCTAAACACCTAAACCCCTAAACCCTAAACGTTCTTTAAACCATCGAAAATTTCGCCTCCGTACCGCGCGCTTATTTGCTCTTTTGTTTTTGTTTTGGGTTGAGCAATGAGGGTTTGTCTTCGAGGCTTCAAGGTTTATAGCGTAGAGTGTAGGCTTGTCAGTGTCTAGGGAAGAAGGTCTGTAGATCAAGGTGTTTGGATTGAGCCCTAAGCCCAAATCCGCCAGGTTCAGAGTCAGTCAACGTCAGCAGCGCCTCTGAAACTACAATGTCTAATATTCTATGCGATTGTTGAGGTCTCTCGAGTTGAAATGTTCTTGATGACGTCCTTTGTATCTTCAAGAAGTTCCCAGGGCTGTTGGGCTAGATGCTATCATGTTGACAAGGATTGAAAAGATTGCATATGTCTGCATCAGTTTTGTCTGACTGATACCTAAACAAGGGAACACACAAGTACATGAAAGGCAAGCGAAACCTAGAAAATGAGATGAAGTGCACAACCATGATACCCAGTCCTGAGAACTGATTGAGAATTTGAGCGCGCGCTCACAAGGCTCTGCACAGCTTGGGCAAAACTTCGGCATGAGCAACAGTTCTGCTGGCACGCAGCTCTGAAAACCAGCACCATAAGCAATTTCTGGCGGCAAAATGTCCTGAGAGTACATTGCACAGTTGTTTTGGCCTCTGCCCAAGCATTGGTTGACCCCAAGGATCCTGCGCCAGAGGCGCCCTGACAAGCACATGAATGCAGAGTCGTGGTGTTGCAAGTATTGATGATTTCTCATTCAAAACTTACTGTGTAAAAAGGGCTTGGGCTGGGAGGCAAAGGTAACCCTGCGCCTCTCGGGATGTCAGTGCGCAGTAGAGGCCGTCATACTGCAGCACTTCTTCCAGCATCGGCTTCACCTGCTGCACTGCTCCCCTCTGGCGCTGCAGGGCAGTGGCTGCAAATCATAGCTGCATGTTGATGCCTGCCTCCATGAACCTATTTCGCCATGCGAGCCCCGCAGTTCGAAGAAGGGCAATTCTAGTCCTACTAGAGCTTTTCTGCCTCGCCTCTTTCTCGAAAACTGTCGTGAGCTCCGTGCAATCCACCTGCACCACCGCCGTCGGAAGCGCCTCCCAGCTGCTGCCGTGCAAAATTACCACCTATACATGGAAACTCCATAGCTTCGCGGTTTGGGAAAAGTGCATGTGCTAAGATGGCCACTTCGGAGCGGCGGGCTTCAAAGGCATATCTCTCCAGGGAGTAGTGAGCATACACCTGACAGAGCGTAACAGGCCCGAAAACACCTCAATCGCTTCCAAGTCTTGGTGCCGCGGCGTCAACCCCGCGGCCAGCAAACCAGGAGGCAAACTGGGCCAGCGCTACACGGTGGCGCAGGTACCCCTGGCCAACACTCTGGCGGGAAAAAGCATCTCTATCAGCACGCACGCAAAGTTGTGATGCCGAAATGTTGTTGTGCCACTATGATGTTGTGCCACCATATTGTTATGCCACTTTGTTGACAGTAATTAAGGCACAACGGCCAATTCTGAAACTAGATGGCCGACTTTGGCATCCGGCTCGTACTGAGAGTCCACGAGGTGCACGGAAGAAACTGGAACTCCTGTTCTTCGGGCATTCTTTGACCAGTCTTGTTGAGAAGCAGCTTTTGTCTCAGGCCACGACCAGCTGCCAGCAATAGCTCCAACAGGCAGAAGTCGAAGCGCAACAGCCCACTACCCAATGAAGCATAGGAGACCTCCAGGATGTGCAAACGCTGCGCTTCTCCTAGCCTATCTGCCTCGTTTTCTCAAAGCGCTAGTCAAGTGCTGTCTTCATGAGAGTCGGGGCCCTCTGGCTCCTTGGCCTGCTTAGGCAATAAGGTTTCGAGCGCCTTCCAGGCACCAGATGTGCCAGGTACTGAGAGGCACAGCATGTCCAGCTTGGGAACTGGCTGCGCCCCTCGCTGGGTCAGCTGTACACCCCCGATGACACAGCCGGCCGCCAGCGCAGCGGCCGGGGCGACACCAAACTCTGAGGGCTCATTGGAAACGGAGGCGCGCTGCCAGCTCAGAGTGTTCAGACTCAGGAGCAAGATCTCCTGTCATTGCAACGAACCCTTCTGAGAACTGCCGGAAAAGGAGCTTCGAGCAGCTAAAACCTGTTCAAAACCACACTGAAATGCCAGCGGTATTTGCAGGCCATGTCCTCACAGGCAAGCCGCTAAAAACCGCAACAATTGAAATGATAGGGCGGATAGGAAGACAGGCATACAACACTAAAAGATGATAATAATGGTGCTAGTGCTGATTACCCCTAGTTCCTGGTCCCTAGTCGCTCCTCGTCTGCAGGAATCATGCCAGTACCATGGCCGCCATAGACCAGCAAGTGCCGGCCATATCGCTGCGCAGCAAAGCGCATGCGAGGTGCAGGAAGGTAGACTTCTCGGCCATCACTTTGTTTCTTTCTTTCCAAGCCACGTTTCCACTTCATGGTCTTCAGATTGAGGGAGTAGCCAATCATCTTCGCTGGCTTCCCAGAATGGAAAATCTCCAGGCGCTCTTCGCAGCCGCCCATTGTCACCAGGTGCTCACAGCTGTTTTCAAAGGATGTGAAGGTCACTGCAGTGTGTAAAGATCTCCAGGAAGGGACCTGTCCATCAGTCTGGACGCGATCCCACTGCTGAAGATCCACAGATAAAATGTAAACATAATTTGCATATGCCCTGTCGCCGATGTATGTAAACTCAGGATCCCGTGTCGGAATATCTCCGCCAAATACAACGACCCGCCGTCCAGCAGCAAATGAATCAGCCGAGTGATGCCATATTGCTTTGGGCATCTGACCAGTTGCAGAGAGCTTTGTCCATGAGATCTTGGTTGGATCGTCTGAGCTTTTTCGAAGCAAAAGTAGCGTTTCCAGACCATCGCAGGGCTCGTGAGTTCTATCATTGCAGCCACCCAGCACAAGGATTGCTTCCCCCGAAGGTGGGCGGACCAAGCAGCTGGAATGCCGCAGCCGCCGGGAGGGGCGATATGAATCCTCTGCCAAGGGCGGCTCCGAAATGGAGAGGCTTGGGAAGTCCACCATGCAAACGTGCAGATCCTCCACAGGGCTCCAGGGCCGCCAGCCGCCGATCATGAAAACACTGGACCCCATAGCACAAGCTGTGTGTCCACTGGAACTCAATGTCTCTTGCTTCTTCTTCTCGAAAACATCACCACTTACCATCATCACGGAACGCTCCCGTTCGCCAGAGTCCTTTCTCTTAGATATCACTGCCTGCTCGAAGAAGTCACTTCGTTGCAAGCATTTTTCGCGAAGGCCATGATCGTAAAAGAAGCCCTCACACACGTAGGCCGACTCGAACAATACCTTCCAGAATGACACATCTCGATGCACTTTATCCCATTGGCTGTCAGCCCAAGAAGCAATGTGCAAGCTGATTAAGCAGGCGCCCAGCATCTCGTAGCACAGCGATCGCCAGAGAGAGTGGCTCTCACTGCTCTCCATCGTCTGGTGCCGCGTGCTTTTCGAGCATGTGCTGACTGCAAGCAGCGTTGGAGCAGGCAGGAAGTTGCAAATCCGCAGAAAGAGATCTTCAGATAGGATCTCCGTCACAATATTAATGTGGAAAGCGCACTCTTCAACTGCTTGAAGGTTTGTAGCTTTCAGTAGCTTCTGTGTTCCACTCAAGGACACTGCCCAGCGACCGCGGTCTGCATGAAAGGACTGGAGGCGCCCGGTTAGCCCATTCAGCTCAGAAGCTGACAGCCCTTGCAGCACCACCCGCATTCCAGGAACCAACAAAGGCGGAGGGTACCCGGCCTCCATCTGCAGCAAATCCTACTGGCAATCAGTGACTTGTTCCTGCAATGGCTGTGTGGATAGAATGGAAACGCTGCTCTCAACTTCACATGATTGAGCCTCGTTGAGTCATAGAGCTGCTGTCAGAACCGAAACGAAACATGCGGCATCTGCTGACTTCGCTGGCAGGCTGGCGGTCTGCAACGTATGCATAACGTGACACTCAAGCCTCTTCCCGACCCATACCGGTGGACCGTATGTGGTCCACAGCCAGCCTTCACACGTTACAGGCAGCCCAGCCAACATGATGCCGCTTTAGAGTCCTCAAGAAGCTGTCGCGGGCGATGGGATTGATTGATCTGCTGCAACTGCAACCGGCCGCGACCTAAGTGGACGACGCTGAGAAATCGCAGCCAAGGCCAGGGTAACTGTCCCGAAAGAACCTACAAAAACTGCAGATCATATGACATTTTGTTTGCACCTCAAAACAAGCATCTCAGATGCAGGCACACTCTGCCAAACAGTCGTTTACATTGCAAGCGCGCCTCAGAAAAGCATTGCACTGCCACAGCTACGACGGAGACATTGATTGCACAGATCGCGACAGTCAGCGGGCACCCTGCCAGTTTCCAGCTTGCAGAAGCTCTATCAACTCGGCAGCCTTGCACAGGCTATTCTGGCTCTTTCGTAAAGATGCCGATGCAACGGAACATTCTCCGCTTCTGCAATCGAACCAAACCCGACAGGCTTTCACCAAGCCAACGCGGGCACTTTCACGAAACGAAACCACAGAATCGGCCTCGGCGGGATCTGCCTGCGAGCAAAGCTGCGACTTTCGCACACACGCTGCCCGCACCACACCTCTTTGCCCGACGACGCGATGGCAAAACCATCGCCGGCAATGTCAAGAAAGTACTCTTTGTCCTGCATTCGACCCATATTGTCTTTGACGACAGGAAGCCCAATGCATGTGGTTCCCGCTGCTGCCACAAGGCTTCACCATATAGGACCTTCAACTGAACATGTCTGCCCATGCAGCACACAAAGTCTGCTTCGTCAAGCACACATGACACTGCGGAACTGGGTCATCAGCCGTCATTGGCAGCCACCACAGTGCTCGGAAGAAGCTTGTTACATACGACTGCTATTTCAATTACATGAAGACCTGGCTAATGACGGACTGCACGGTTGGACACTTGGCTGCTCTGCACAATCATGAACTTAAAAAGTTCAGAACTCAGCTTGTGCCAGACAGCCTGCTGGTACATCTTCCTTGAACAACATACTTGCTTGTCACAGAAAGCAGGCTGACACCAAGGAAGCAGTTCGCTCACTGTTGTTCCATCTAGAAGCGAGACAGCTGGCATGCTCTGTGGATCCAGGCCACTGCAGCAGCGTGCTGAAACATTTAAATATGGACGTAAAGGTTTATACATGAAGCATTAAAAAGTGCGAATTGATCACCTCTGCCTACTTGCCACCCTTCAAAATCAAGCGGACAAGCAGCACAAGGTAGGAAGGTACCGCTGACTATGCAAACTTGATGGACTTTGCTTCACTTTGAAACCCGTACAGCTGCAAGCATCGACCCTTACTGTAATGATCCACACAACTGTAACAACGATCATCAGAGACAGTTCTAAACGCAAGAAGTAGATATTCATCATGTCAATACTTGTCACACTGCTTTGATGCACCGCAACTGTCCTGGAGGTGTAGGGTTCCTCCAGTCCAGGCTTTAGTGTCTGATGTAATTGTTGGAACTCTACTTAAAGGTTTGACAAAGCAAGACAACCAACTTGAGTACTGCGAAGCCTGAACTGTCTGCCTGCTGCAATCGAAGATAAACACCTTGAGGGAGTATGCCTTGCTAGTGGAACACTAAATCGTGCATCAAAGTTGGTCGCATCAAAGTGTGGCTGCAAAGCTGCAAAGCATCGATAAAACGGCAGCTGCGGCAGTTGTCATTAACAAGAATATCCTGGGTGTCGGCTAGCATCGAGCCTCGAAGGAAGCAATGCACATGTGCTGAAAGACCCAGCCAAAGCATCCGAGCGCGCAAGGAGCCCACACCACTGCTAAGGAACTCATGTATGCATGGCGGAGCGCTTTGGAGCAGGGGTGCCCGAGGACCTTGCTGAAGTCGCAGTTGCACATGTGCGTGAGGTAGACCACGGATAAGATGTCGGCAGTAACATCACACAAGCAGACAGCAACCACATACTTCACACTGCTCCATCCGGATGAGAAAAGGAAATCTCGAAGCATGCTCGGGATCACCCAAGCCAGTGGACTGAAAACCAACAAGCTTGCGAGCGCTGCTGTGAGACCCCAGCCTAGGATGATTGCTTCAAAGCTCATCCGCTCTCGGAGAGCTTCATCGCTAAGCCATGGTGTCGAATCGAAGAACCTTCTAAATATTCCGGCATATCGAGCCCTCTGCGTTCGCCATGCTATTGTCGTGCAGTCGCACACCACCCAGATCACAACGCTCAACCAGTCACGGCAGTGCGCGGCGCTCAAGGAGGTGTGCAGCCCAAGGTTAAGAGCTAAAGGGAAGGCACCGTAGCAGAACCTGACCGAGAAAACCCCTCTAATTAGGTAACTGTCACAGCTTGCTCTTCCGACGCTAGCATACTGCGAATCGAACCTAAAAATGTGCCAAAACAGCCCGCCAAGAAACAGTGTATCACTGAGCTTCACTGCGGCCATCTTAAAAACTTCCGAACAGCATCCCTTCAGGAACAATGAGATGAGAGGCCGCAGTACCTGGTCAAACAAGCATATCTTATCTTTGCAGCTTGGCTGCCCAATTAGGCACAAAATCTAAGAACCACAAAAAGCTGAACGTGCTCAGAAATTTGAGAAGGCACTGCTGCCGCCGGGGCAGACAAATTGGGAACCACCACTGCAAAGTCCAGCGCGATGTAGTTCACTGGCAACACAGTGGCAACAAAACATGAAACCAAACATAGCAAATCGAACCAGAAGTTTCTTCCTTGAGATCGGATGTACCACACTTGGGAGGCCAACTCATCCCAGTTCTCATCCCCACGACAGTGGCGTATGCCAGCAACCATGGAAGGCAGGAACAAAATGCAGGTGGTAGTTGGCCAAAAGCATGTGGAGAAGAAAACAAGGATCTTGCTCTCTGTCCCCGCAACATAGGGAAAAGACACGTTCGCAATGATGAAAGGCAATAGGCTCACCTTCAAAAAGAATAGATGGCATCTCCGGTCTGCCAACAATGTTGGGTTGCAAAGTCCTGGGAAGAAGCCCCCGAGGAAGCATGGGCTGATTGCCCAAACGAAGCGGTTCAGCAATCCAGTCCAGAAGTTGGCGTTTGCATGGCCTGGTACAGGCCACAACCCACTGAGGGTCAGTGAGGCAGTGAAGCACATAGCAACCAAAAAGGCAGAGCATAGACTGGTCCCAATCAAGTGGGCCAAACGATGTGCTTTCCCACCTTGAGGCAAAGGTTGTCCATAAGTTTCCAAGCACCAAGCGTGCTCGGTCTCACTGGGCACAGTGCCCACAAGGGAGGCTGATTTAGGTGCATGCCTCAGTGGGCAGTCTGTTTGCCTACGCTTGGACTGAAGTTCTCCGACTTGACAAGATCTTGACCGCTCTTCACGTTCTCGTGTGCTCTGGGCGCTGATTTCCACATCTGGCTGCTTGTCTGATGGCACGGCCCGCTCGGAAACATCTGGCCTCACAGCAAGCACAGCGGCATCTGCAGCGACCTGGTCTGATTGCTCATATCTGGAATCCTTGCCCGATTCCAGAGCAGCTCGCACAAAAGCATTTGTGGGAACGGCCAAGTCAGAAAACTCTACAGCCGGAGCAACCCTGTTCGCTCGAGACGAACTCATCATCATCATCCTTGACCAACCCTCATTGAGACAACGCGTAAAAGTCGGCCTTGAGGAGCATACAGCTGAGACCAGTGGCATGTTCAGCAAGTCTGGTCAGCAAGGCTATTAACTGGAAATGCACTATTCTGAGAAAGCGGAATGTAACATGTTCCACGCTTAAAAAACAGACCAGACACCCGCACCAAATCACACAATGTGGGCAATGCACAATCCACATACATTTGAACTGTGGGACAACACATGCCTTGGTTCTGCAGGCCGCCGCACAATCGGCTATGCTTTCCGGAGCAAGTACCGTGCCAGTTGTGAAACATCATTACAGAAAGTTCCACAGGAGACGTAGCCCGCTCAACGGTTTTGAACAGGCTGCCAAATCTGATCGGGATCGTAGAAATAATTGACTGAGGAACAAAAACTTGCGATTGGTTCGCAAATCGAACTGGGTAAACATCATCAGTCCAGCCAACCAGCCATCTTGATTTTGACTCGGTTGGGGGATTGAAATGCCATAAATCTCGCCAAAAAAAAAACCTTGCCAAGATCCTAAAATTGCATCGAGTCAAATCCATCCCATCCACATCAACTGCCCATGGTTGGCACCACATCCCTTCGTTTAGCAGCCACATGCAGAATACGATCCAAGGTGATCGATCCCCTGCATGCTCGCGGGTGAGGGGTGAGGTAAGCAACGACAGCTCGTCAAGAATGAAAAGAATCGAAACCATGTGCAGCACTTGTCATTCTGCGTGACCACCGCTGCAAACCCAAAATTTGGCGTCTCAAATTACGTCTACCTTGAAAACCGCATGCTCTCCCCAATGCCTCCTGCCCTGCTTCACTAACAATTCGTTAACTTTAACTTGCTTGACAAAATCCCCTGACCTTCCAGCTGTCGCTGCTGCTGTTGTTGGGCTACGGGCGTCGTACATACCGGCTAATGAATGAATTTCGATTTTCGCTGTTGGGCCCGCCACTTTGTACGTCATACAAGCATGTAAGCTTGCGCAACCATCCAATTCCCCTACGTGGCCTCGTTAATATATAATATACAAAATACTACACAAATATATATATATATATGGACACCCCCCCCATGATCCACCAACCCCCTGAAAACACTGTAAATACCGATAAAAACAAGC